GCCTCATACTCCACACCGCGGCTGCCACTCTTGGTGGGTACCAGGTGCGTAAGAGGCATCTCACTCTCTGTATCCCGCATCCGTTTGAACGCCGATCCCGAAGCACCGGATTGAGCTCCAGTTTGCGACGAGTAAGGATTTTTAGCAGACGAAAATATACCTGGAAATGCTGCCTTGAATACAGGACGCATCATGGGCACACAGGCATTGGTAATTGCTAGTGCAGGTTCTGTGACACTCCAGAAGGCGGCCCAGATCATGCTGTATGAAAGGTCGGTGAAGTCAACGGTGGTGAGGACGTGGATACGGATGATCGTGATAGCCGAGATGCTAATAACCTACTGTTAGTTCCCACCGACTTCTGCAATTCCAAGTTTCAGTATGTGGAGGTACTCACAACAAGCCTACGCCAAATATACCGTACAGAGCTACTTTCGTCCCGGTCGACATCTGCAGTTTCCAGATATGGTGAACCGGTAGAGCCATAATTAGAAGGTCTGTCACGAGATTGAAGGCACCAATGGTCGAAAAGGCGACGTTCATGCTAGCGCAATGACCAGGCAAAGCAGCGTTCCAGTTTTTCGCAAAGGGTTGACAGATGAGGAAGACCTGAAGCATACTTCCGAGCCAGTAGGCCCCCGCGCAGCCCATGCACACTCTAGCAGCCATGCGAAATCCAGGCGTCACAAAAATTCGAAGATAGAAGAATAAGTAGGAGAACTTGGCGGTGACCATAGCGTTGTAATAGACGATTTGGTAGACAATAAGCATCTGGTTTATTTAGCGTGGGGATCAAAGCGCACGACAAGCCTTCACAACGAACCTTAAAGATCAAGATGGTATTCACGGCAGGAAGCTCGGTGACATGGTGCCGCATGCCGACCCGTGCATAGTGGTACTGCATGGCGAGCATACCATAGGTGTGCAGCTAGATTGCGAGTTAGTGCCAAGTCCAAATCACTCTCCTAGTTCTTCAGGTGACCGCACCATGGACACCACAATAAATGCATCGTCCCACCAGAATTTGCTCTGTCTGATCTTGCGCGACATGAAACGCAGCCCAATTGACGCTGTACTCAGTGCCACCAGCACGGTATTGGCGATCAGCTGGTCGCGCACAATTGGGTACGCAAAAACATTGTAGAACTGAATCGCCATACCGGTGTCGTGCCCCCGGGCATCATGGGAGCTGTGACGGGTGAGAACTTGGCCAGACAAGTTGGAACTCATCTTGCACGGGTGTGCAAGGCTGGTGATACTTGAAGGGGTCAGCAACGCACAGTCCAAAAAGCCTTGCAGGTCCAGACAACGACGATCCGGCTTGCGATCATCACCAGGATGACTATGTTCGGAATGCAGCCCTCAGCTCCAGGGTAGTCAGTGAATCAAGTGGCTTAAGCGGGACCCGCCAGGATCTTTGGCGCGACGGCGGCGCTCTGTAGTGTGGATTAGTAGGGCTAGTCCGCGCAGCTAATCAACTAGTTCAAACGGCGACCGCTGTCATTCACTCCACCAAAGCCAATCCAGCAATCTCCTGGCCAAATGCCGAGTGAGCACCGTTTGGGGGCTGCTCTATCTGCTCCACTGTGGAATCGCCAATCCCAACTTACCTTTATTTCCTTTAGTTCGAATCCCATCAGTGCACTTGCCCCGTCGAGGCAAGAGTCGCAAAACGAGGCCTCCTATTTCATTCCGTGCGGCCCTGTCGACCTGCCTGTTTCTTCCCTTCCAAACACGCCAATTGACATATCCCTCACCATGACCGGTCTGAAATCCTATGACTACATCATTGTTGGGGCGGGAATTGGTGGGCTGGTGCTCGCCTCCCGCCTTACCGAAGATGCCAATGTGAAGGTGCTTCTTATCGAAGCCGGTGCCAACCGCATGGGGGACCCTCGCATTGAGACTCCCGGTTTCTTGGAGACCATGTATGGAAATCCGGATTTCGATTGGGATTACATGAGTGAGCCGCAGGTAAGGATTCGGCCTCTCAGCCTCGGGATCCTCATGTCGGTACTTGGCTAACCCCTGTTGCAGGTGCATGTCAACAACCGCCAAATTGCGCAGCCACGTGGCCGTGTGGTTGGTGGCAGCTCCACCATGAACTTCTCTGTGATCATGTATCCCTCCGAGGCCAATTTCGCCGCATGGGAGTCGCTCGGCAACCAGGGTTGGGGGCCTGAAGACATGGCGCCTTACCTGCGCAAGTTCCACACCTACACTCCACCTTCTGAGGAGACTGCCGCTTTTCTCTCTCTGGATAAGTACATGAAGCAGGAGAACCAAGGCAAAGACGGCCCGGTCCCTGTCACCTTGCCCAATGTATATGGTCCCTTCAACCAGGCCTGGGATGAAACCTTCGGCAACCTGGGATGGCGAACCGATGCGGATCCCATCTCGGGCCGCAAAATCGGTGCATTCACTTCTCCCTTGTCTGTCGATGGGGCCACCGGCCGTCGGGGTTACGCTGGTGCCTACTACTCGCCGAAGGTGGCAGAGCGACCGAACCTGGATCTGCTGGTCGAGACCATGGTGGAGCGAGTCTTATTGACCAAGGATGCCGATGGTCTCGCCACTGCGACCGGTGTGCAAGTCAAGACCAAAGGCGAACACAGTCGCGAGATCGTGGCAAATCGCGAGGTGATCATTTGCGCAGGCAGTCTCAACTCGCCTCAGATTCTCGAACTGTCTGGTATCGGAAAACGCGACCTTCTGGAGAAGCACAACATTCCCGTCATCGTTGACCGGCCCGGTGTTGGTGAAAACCTCCAGGATCACTGCCTAGCAGCTGTCAGCTTCGAAGTTGCGGATGGACAAGTCTCGGGAGATATTACGCGTGATCCCAATGTTGTGCAGTCATTGATCAAGCTCTACGAGGAAACGCACTCCGGTCCTCTGGCGGGAATGCCTGTTAGCATGGCGTACCTTCCCCTGATGGACCACGAAGGCCAACTATCAAGAGAGAAGGTGGAAAAGCTCCTGACCAAGCATCTCGACCAGCACTTGCAGGATGCGTCATCTTCCCAGCAGCAGCAATACGCTCTCCAACGCGCGCTTCTCCAAGAGGGTCGCAACGCCTCGGCACAATACATGTTCCTCCCCATTCAAGTGCACATGAACCCAGGCAAAACCACAATGTCGGACGTCCTTGCCAAAACCCTTCCCGGAAACTACATCACCATCTTGGTCCTGCATAACCACCCCTTCTCCCGCGGCTCCGTGCACATCCGCTCTGCCAATGCGGACGACAAGCCCATCTACGACCCCAACTACCTGTCCCACCCACTTGACATCGAAATTCTTGCCCGGCACGTCCAATACCTCGACCAGATCGCCGCCACAGAGCCGTTCTCAGGTCTCTTGAAGCCCGGTTCCCGACTTCCCGAACGGGCTATCGACTTGAATGATCTCGAGAAGACCAAGGAGATCGTCAAGGAGCGTCTTTTCACTTGCTTTCACCCGGCAGGATCTTGCGCTATGATGCCTGCCGAGATGGGCGGTGTGGTGGACTCCAAGCTGAAGGTTCACGGCACCCGAAACCTGCGCGTCGTGGATGCCAGTGTCTTCCCCTTGGAGCCGGCTGGCAATATCCAGGCTACTACTTATGCCATGGCGGAGCGGGCGGCCGATCTGATTCGTGGGCTTTGATCCGGTAGATAAAATTGCTGTACATAGGACAGAAGCAGAAGTTTGACGTTCGAATGCATTTATGTGCCGATCGCAGGGATCAGGTAAATTGCGTTCACCTTGGGAGGAACTTGAGGTTGCGGGCTTTTCAAGGGTTTGCTCTAGTATATATCGTAGACAAAAAGTAGGTTAGCCCAGTAGTAGTTGTAGTAAGAGCCACAACTATGAAGGTGGACTAGCGAGGGAGAGAGGGACTTGAGAATATATATTATTAGTGGTCGGACCGCTTCGAAGGAAACATAGGAAACTTGGAGTCATTCTTACCCCCTCCTAGGCCCAAAGCCACAAACTGTACTAGTAGCCGTAAACAACACTTGTAATTCGAATGGCCAGCGTGGTAGACTATTCAAACATCCTCAAAATCGTTTTTTGAATAGAACGGAGATTCGGCCCTACGTTGGTCCGACAGCCGGCGCCCAAATGTGTATTTATTGATCAGCATCATTCAGCAACATCACTTTACTAAGTCAGTCCTGACTGCGCCGATTAGAATCATTTCCTTGCTATTTCACCTTGCTAGAAACCAATCCTCTGAGTTTGGATTCCGCGGTCGTTACTGGACCAGTGGTGGTATAGCTCTACAATTGTCTCTGTGGTGATATAAGTATACTGAGAGGAAGCGAAGCACTCGATAAGTGTCGAAGGATGGATGGTCATTGTTAATGCTGCAGACGCCAGAACTGCTAAGATATTCAAGTCTGAAGAGAGTACTGTGGTTTGGGGAAAGTTACCAACCACAAAAGTATTCGTCGTGGCATCGCAGGATGAGTGGACGATACTCAGGCACGGTCACTCTAAGCAAACCGAAGCAATCATGGAATGGATCATCTGATAGATGATCCTTGCTCTTGCTGGAAGGAGTTGAAGGGCCAATTACACTGCTAGAATCACAAACCTTCGGGCTTTCCCGTCGTACAGAACTTGCAGGCCGGAATGTAACTTTCCTGGACGAGGTTATCGGAGTAAATCGTGTATTGTAACAGGAAAGTAAACGCAAGGTTCATTGAGAGCCAAGCCAGCTCAATTGAAAAACAAGAACATAAGCCCCTATGAAACTAACAACGAGGGACTTCTTACGTGCTAGGGTAACTATACAACTCAACTCATTGCCAACAAAGGAGACGCCAGTGTATCCTAAAATAGAACACGATCGACGTCCCGAGACCTGTGTGGATTAGTCAGGGGCGCCGTTTACCGGCTGGACATCCCTTGTCGTGTGGCAAGTGATGAGGAAGCAATCCTGCAATCATCCATACCCCAACCTGTTTCCTTGCCTGTACTCTTGACAGTACGACCTCGTTCAAGCACTGTGTTCATCTTTTGACAATTCGCACATTTTGTCGCTTCCACACTAGCGCCAAGGCGAGAAACTGGGCAGCTGAGAAGCCCCCGACCATCTTCATCTGCATACTATACGCCTGGGCGTAGACCTCCCGTACGCGAGATTGCATTTCTGGCGTCAAGGTGGAAATAAGTTGTGTCGATATGGAAAACGCGTCCACCTCGTCTGCGGGTAGCAACGATGAAAGTCCACTTCGAGTATGGCTGTGTAATATGGCCGTGGCTGCTGCGATACCAAGGGCCCCGCCCAGCATGCGCAGCTGGAAACCTGTTCCTAGCGCAATGGACTGGTCCTTGACCGCTACCACCAGTGGCAACATGAGGTAAAACACAGCAACCCCAAGTCCGGTGCCTAGGCCCGCTATGACGAGGTATCCGAACTGGCCAGGCCATATGTGGGTTTCCGCTTTGATCTCGGAGTAAAGGAAGAACCCGATGACTTGCATGATCACGCCAACAATCCCAACATAAACAAGTGGTACTGGAAGGCGGCCAGTGAGTATGGAGCAGAACATCATACCAGCAGGGACGCTGACGGCGAACGCAAGGAGTTTGACACCGGCTCCGATTGGGGAGCTGTCGTTGACAACTTGGAATCGTTGTGGTATTTCGACGATGCTTACAGTCATGCTGAGGCCTGTAGTGAAAGATCCACTAATTATTTCGAAACCACTGATTAGCATCTATTCACGTATGAGCCGCATAAAGCAGAACCGACATACAGAATTGTCCCCACGAACAAACGACTGGCCAGCAATCGCCAGGGCAACATTGGCTGGCAGGAAAGTCGTCGTCGACTGAGGAACTACTGCCACAAAAGGAACAAAGGGACACATATCCCGGAGAGAACAAAGAAGACGATCACTGCACTGGAATCCCAGCCAAAGTCATAGTTGCCCTCTTGCAAAGCAGCGACTATGAACACTGATGCTGCTAGTACGAGGAAGGCCCCGAGAAAGTCAACCCGACGAAGTAATGACCATTGTCGAGACCAGAATGGTGAATACTCCGATGCCGGAGCCTGTATATCGGTTGAAGCTGGAAAATTTGGTGGCATTGAAAAGAAGATCAAAACCCAAGATACAGCCCCTGCTGGAACACTAGAGATGGTTTAGTAAAGTATCTCATGTCTTCATATACCTTTTGCGTACTTAAGCAGGAATACCCAGCGCCAGTCCCCATCTTCTGCAATTGCTCCTCCGAATAGGGGCCCCAAGACAAGGCCAAGGGAGAAGACGACCCCGGACAAGCCAGTGACGGCAGCATAGTGCTGTTTGGACACCATTCGAATCAAGGAGAATATGACCAGACTGTAAATACCGGCAGCACCAGTGCCTTGGAATGTTCAACAAATGATTCTGGACACGAGTCAGCAATGCCTCATGGAGTGCTATTGGGAAAGCTACGGCTTTACAGGTCCGACAGAGTACGCGCACCGCTGCAGCCTCCCGAGAACGCCGTGAAAATAGCGAGCGAAGTTAGCAACATGGGCTTCACGCCCCAAGTGTCGCCGGCTTTCGACCAGATCATGAGAAAGTCTAGAAACGAGCTGTGAGCGTGTGAAGTAGGAGGGGCGATTTCGGACGATGAATCTCTTACCCGCATATGTTAGAAGGTAGGAGGTGATGATCCAGCTGCTTCGGCCAAACCCTCGTAGGTCATCTGTGATGGCAACCAGGGAGGTACTGACAATTGTGCTTTCGAGTCCTGTTAGAAAGAAAGACACGTAGAGCCTCCCCCGACCGGAAAGATTAGCTGTAGACCGATATACTCATAGCAGTTGCCCTACCCCGTGCCTCCAAGGAAGAGGCGAGTTCCCTTCAGTCCACCATCCCAAACCTGTTCACCGGACCCGACATCTGAATCCGTGGCATCGTATTGCCCCATTGAAAGTAAATGTGTCCAGACCTTCTCTAATCAGTAGAAGGAGACGTAAGAATTGTCGAGAGCGAGACAACTTAGGATGGAGGCCTTGCGGTTAACAGACGATGGGGTTTTTGGAGACCTTCAGGGAAGTGTAGCCCGGCCTTCTTGTTTCCCCCGGACCTATTTGGGTTGCCCGCGTCCGGCTTAGGAATTCCCAACGGTAGCACAAAAAGGGTCCTTGCATTTATCTGATGAAGATCCCGTCCTTTGGGAATGGAGAGCCCGAAGAATGATCACCGATACGGCCGCCTGCATAAAGCGTGCGACCCGCAATACTTGCAGGAATGACATTTTACGAACCACTGCAGCAACCTGAACTCTTCTAGTAATGGGGCGGAACGTGAGGACGCTCATACTACATTTCAGCTTATCACACAATCATGATTTCTGCATCATTCCTTCCCCTGAGACACTTGACATCGTCACATCAGCAAAAGCAAAGTCTGTCAACATTATCACGTTGCATGTGCCACATGACATCCCAAGGTAGACAGTAAAATTCAAACCCCGCCGATCGCCCGGTGGATCACGTTGGCAATCTGTATCACCTCTTCTGTCGAAGTAGGGACAGTGTGACCCCCTTTATGCACAAAGCTGGCCTCGCTGCTCTTCCTGCAGTACTCAGGAGCCAGTGCCGCATGCTCACCGAGGTAATCTGTTGAGCCCCAGATATGTGCTATTGGTATGGAGATTATTGGCCGGGGATCCCATGGTTCAATCCGCCCCTGACGCAATGATTCCATGTCAAAGGGCTTTTCGGGGTTGGAAAAAAGGACAGCCACCTTGAATGGAGGTTCTTGCGTGCCTTCTTTCAGAGCATGGTCGATCATTATGGTAAGGGCCAAGCAAGTACCCATACTGAATGCCATCACCCCATCGTAGGGCCCCTTCACGCGAAGATATCTTTCTAGGTCGTTGATCGCCTGCAGACACGATTGTGGTTGGTGTGGGTCGCAATACGCGAAGGTTGCCTCCCCTGTTTCGATAATTGATTCCACAGCTAATGAAGTCAATTATGGATACATAGCTCTCGCTGGTTGGAGTTGATCCCCTTACAAGCTTCCCATGGAATGGTTCCCTCCACAAAGTCGAAGGTGTGACTTTCTCCTAGTTCATAGCGCAGTGCCGCTATGATGATTTGCGTATGTTTAGCATGTTATTCGACGCCGCCTTAACAATTTGTACAGAGGGACTGGCCACCTGTCTGTTGCTCGAATACCTTTGACATTGTTAGTGAGCGCGACCGTCGCCAGGAACGTGGGGCTAAGAATTATAAGATTTCTACTTACTCTGGAATTGCTTCCAATCCCATGCAAGCTTGTCAGATTTCAGTGTCAGTGTCAATGAGTAGGCGCTTGCAAAGTGGAAAGATGAACTCTACCATAGAAAGCGCATTTTGGCCGAGGCAAGAATTCGATGACTGTATCTTGATGTATCACTGTCCGTTACTAATCTTTTGTGCTGCGGTGATGTAAACTGAGATAGTTCTGTCCTCCAATCTCAAATTCACAAACCTCATAGAGCTTGCTATTTATGTTTTTCAATGAACTCATTTCTAATTTCCACCCCAAGCCTTGCTCGTGAACAGTAAACTCGCAATGTATGATGCAGCATGTTGTGCAAGTAGCCACGATAAGACTATACATCATCTGCGTCCCTTTCAGGACATAAACAGCTCATCCCTTACAGTCACTACAATCTCCACGTCATGTGGAATTCATGCGAAACACATACCTCATGCTAGAAGACGAAATGAGAATATACATTAGAGTTATGGATAGCAGGGTAGATCTTAGCCCGCGACAACGTCTGTGAGATACACGATAAGCAAGACATTTCATCGCGATCGATGAAAGTTCGTGGACAATGAAGAATGCCGCATGACCACTTCGCCACATTGAGTCACTGCCTGAGGGGTAACCGGGATAACTTTGACGTTATCTAGAGCAGGAGATGGGTACTTATAGACGACTGTGGTACCAGGGTAGATTTAGGTCTTGACCTATGGTATCTCTTAGCCAAGCTTATTTACAAAGCATACAAAGCCATCAATCCATCTCATCACTTCATCCCGCCGCCCCCTCGTCTTTGCATTCTTCGAGCAACATGGCAGGGAAACATCTGGAACCCCTGGCAGTAGTTGGCATATCTCTTCGCTTTCCCGGAGAGGCTGTCACACCTGAGGCCTTTTGGGAACTGATCCTAAGTGGCAGAGCTGCAGCAAAGGAGGTTCCTCCAGACCGATATGACGTTGATGCATGGCACAATCCAGACTACAGTCACTTGGACAGGGTGTCTCAACGGAAAGCGAATTTTCTGGAAGGGGATATTGGCCATTTCGATGCAGGCTTCTTCTGCATCTCTGCTGCGGAAGCCGAGGCGATGGACCCACAACAGCGGCTCGCCCTCGAAACAGCGTATCATGCTCTCGAAAATGCAGGATATCCCATTGAGGCAATTACTGGAGCAAAGATGGCTGTTTTTACCAGTGCATTTGGTAATGACTAACAGAGGCTTCACGCAAAAGATCTTATGACCTTGCCAAAAGGTCATGCTACTGGGACTTCTATGAATATGCTCGCGAACCGAGTGAGCTGGTTTTTCAACCTCAAAGGCCCAAGTGCTAATGTCGATACTGCATGTTCAAGTAGTTTGATGGCTTTGCATCTTGCCTGTCAGTCCATCTGAAATGGCGAATCTACGCTGGTCTGAATAAGCCCTCCCACGCCAAGTCATTCGTTGCGCCACTAACAACTATCCGGCAGGGAATGGCAATCGGCTGTAATGCAATTCTCGGCTTGGATACCGTTCTGGCCCTAGACAACCTTGGCATCTTGTCCAAAGATGGTCGATCGTACAGCTTCGATCAGAGGGGCAATGGATATTCTCGCGGAGAAGGAGTGGGGGCTTTAATCGTACGCCCACTAAGTGAGGCTATTAAAAATGGCGACACCATCCGAGCTCTCATTCGGTCCACTGGCTCCAACCAAGATGGCAAAACACCTGGTATAACGCAGCCTAGCATGGAAAGGCAAGAGGATCTCTATCGGGATACATATGAGAGAGCTGGCCTAAGCTTGGATGTTACTCGATATGTCGAGGGCCATGGAACAGGTAAGAAAACAAAGTTTGTTACTTTGATGATTAATTTGAGAGCCTGTGCAATTTTGCTAAGCAGAATGGCGAAGTAAGGAACCGCCGTAGGCGACCCCATCGAGGCTCGAGCCATAGGCAATATCTTTCGTCCACATCGCAGCTCAGACGAACCGGTCTACCTGTCAGTATCCTCAATGCTATTGTATATTGAAGACTCTGACTGTTTTCAGTGGATCCGTTAAGTCGACCATTGGCCACCTTGAAGGCGCAAGCGGAGTAGCCGGGGTTCTCAAGGCCATCTTAGCGGTGGAGAAGGGAATTATCCCACCCAATACAGACCTCCAGACTTTGAATCCTAGGATAGACGAGGAATTCTTGCACGTGAAGGTCTGAACTGGTACCTAAAACATCGAGACTGGCAGCGCTGATAGTGATCAGGTCCCTCGGAAGGCTATTCCATGGCCTGTTGATGGTATCCGAAGGGCTTCCGTCAGCTCTTTTGGCTTTGGGGGCACCAATGTTCACATAGTCCTAGATAACGCATCAACTGAGCTCGTGAAGAATGACCTTAGGCTGCAAGCAACCATCAATGGGCCAGCTATTCCCACACTCGGGCGGACAGTGACAAGGTCGTCGGATATGGCAAGACTGCTTGTGTGGTCTTTCGCCGACAAGGAAGGTATCATGCGGTTACAGGAGACTTGGAAGCCTTTCTTTGCTGGTCTCAATATCGAACCAGAAGAACGCCCTCGCTACCTGTTCCGTCTAGTACACACCTTATCTGCAAGGAGGTCGTGCCTTGAATGGCGAGCGTACGCTGTTACTCAAACGAGCGACGATTGGGCAACGATTCCTGACAGTGTAGTTTCCCCGGGGCAATCTATTCCCTCACCCAATATAGCTTACATATTTTCTGGGGTAAGTATCCAAAATATAGACACCCACAAAGCCATGCGGCACTAACATCTTTTGTGCGGCGTAAAGCAAGGCGCCCAGTGGTATGCAATGGGTCGATAGCAGCTTACGACATACTCGACCTTCTATAACAGCATCCAGGCAGCAAACGATTATTTACAAACCTTAGGGTGCCACTGGAACCTGTTGGGTAAGCATTATCAGACCCGAATCTTCTGTAATTGATACTTACACCAATCTAGATGCTCTGCAGAAGAGTGAATCGGAATCTCCAATTAACCTTACGGACCACAGCCAGACCTTATGCACCGCGTTGCAGGTTGCACTCGTTGACCTCCTTGGGCAATTCGGGATTGTTCCCAAAAAGGTCGTTGGACATTCTTCCGGAGAGATCGCTGCTGCGTATGACCCTAACCTATCCAATCAATTAGATGTGCAGTACTAAACGCGGTTACAGATACTCCACTCGCGCTATCTCTCGACGTGATGCTTGGAGAATTGCTTTCTACCGAGGCCTCTGGAGCAGCAATCTGGAAAAGCACAGCTACGTGCGAGGACGTATGCTTGCTGTTGCACTGAGTGAGAAGGAAGTCCTTGCATACTTTGACAAAGTCACCAAAAACCATGTCCTTCTCCGGCTTACCGTAGCCTGTATCAACGGCCCCAACAGCACCACTATTTCCGGCGAAGAATCGCAGATTGAGGATCTCAAATCTCTCCTTGACAATGACCAGATATTCTGCAGGCGATTAAAGGTTAAGGTAGCCTACCACTCGTTTCAAATGCATGAGATTGCAGCTCAGTATGAGGCAGCCATCGGGCCACTTGAGAAAGTGGCCGATCAATTTGAAGGCCACGGTCCATGCATGGTGTCCTCTGTTACGGGAGACTGGATAACATCAGAAACACTACAAACATCAAGATATTGGGCGCGCAACTTGGTGTCACCCGTGAAGTTCTCCGAGGCCTTGAGCGTGGCATGTGCATCCACTACTTCACCCCCGGATAAACTCGATGGCAGTCATTGCAAGTCCCTGCAGGTCCATCATCTGCTAGAAATCGGTCCACACTCGGCACTACAGGGGCCTACCAAGTCCATTCTTGCAGAGCTGAAGCGCACCTCAGTCCACTATCTTTCCGTTCTTAAGCGCAACGTGGCTGCTACATCAACACTGTTAGATGCAGTGGGATATCTATGGGCAAGTGGCCATCCAGTTGATTTGGCCGCTTTGAATCAGGACTCCCAGACAATGTCAGGGAGGAATCTTCTCTGCCTTAATAACTTACCGGAATATCCCTTCAACCACAACAAGTCCTATTGGCATGAAAGCCAGATCAGTCGCAATATCCGCAGGCCCCCGTTCGGCAAACACGAACTTCTGGGCACGCCGGATCCTTGCTGGAACCCACTTCAGCCCCGTTGGAGGCATATTATCCGGACTTCCGACACACCTTGGGTTCAGGATCATCAGGTAACACTCTCATTTTTCCCAACTTGCAGTGTCCCGGGAAAATACGGCTGACAGATCCTTATAGGTAAATGGGTCAGTGGTGTACCCTGGCGCGGGAATGATCCTCATGGCGGTCGAGGCGGGGAAGCAGCTTTGTCGAGACGGACGCCAGATACACTCCTTTGAGGTACTCGATACAACCCTGCATGCAGCCATTCAAATCCCAGGACATGGCGACGTGGAGACAAATTTCTCTATGCAGCCCGTGAGCAGCATGCGGGCCGAAAATTCCGACTTCTTCGAATTCGGCCTCTATACCGCCCTAGGGTCATCATGGACGACAAATTGCACAGGCTCCATCCGTGTGACATATGAAACTCAAGAACCAGACCCGGTCAAGAATAACCAGGTTCAACAGCGGATTGACACACAACTTCGGCAAACACTGGTGCAAGCCCAGCAAAAGTGCGGGTCAACGGTGGATATCACTAAGATCTACGATAATCTGAGACAATATGGGTACGAATATGGTGAAAGCTTCCAAGGAATTACAGCTCTTTCCTACAACCAGGAAGATGGTAACACTGATGTGGGATCTATTCATCATCGCCTAATTACACCCCCTTCAACACTTCACCCGACTGCTCTGGATGCAATGTTTCAGACATTGCTATGCGTCAATGCAGGATGTGGAGCCAAAGCCGTCCCTACCTATGTCCCGACACACATAAAGAGGCTACAGGTTCTGAAGAACGGGTTGCCTGGTGCATCAGAAACCTTCAAGATCCTGGCACAGGGGGACTTTGCGTCCTCAACTGAGGTAGTCGGCTCGATCACCGCATTCGGAGCCGATTCTCAGCAGCCCATCGTTATTGTTGATGGGCTCAAATGCACATTGCTAGATAACGTTCGGTCCAGCAGCGAGGTATCCACAACGGGTGGGACACTCTGTTCCGAAATTGAATGGAAGCCGGATGTTCGTCTTGTTGAAAACGCTGCGATAGAAGAATACTGTCGGGGGAGGTCGTCCGAGACTCCCTCTCGTGATCTCCTTATCGAGCTTGATTTCGTTGTGCTTGCTCGTGTATTAGAGGCCTACCGGTTATTCACTCTCCAGAAGAAACAGCCCGCGAAGCCTTACTTGAAGAAATACCTTCAGTGGGCCGCACACCAAAAGGATCGTCTGGATAATAACGAACTGGTGTACTCTTCAGATCAGTGGAAGAGTCGGTTACAAGACTGGAAATATATTCATGACGTTGAGAGCCGCTTGCTCGAGAAGGCGCCAATCTCCAGGCTTCCTGTTAATGTTGGGCGAAACCTGTTGGATTTCCTCACCGATGCCCTAGATCCGCTGGAGTTCTTCTTCTCCGGTACCATGGTCGATGACTATTACGAAGGCACTGTGGGTACCCCTTCTATTCCCTTTCCCCCTTTCCGTAAGCCACTAACCTCCTATGATGGCAGATGGCTGTGGCCGACTTCGGGACATCACTTCCAAGGTTTATGGACCTCATGGCTCATACAAACCCTGGAATGAACGTCCTTGAGGTAGGTGCCGGGACTGGGGTTGCCACTGGAGCGTGCCTAAAGGCCCTGGGAGCTTCTGGACATCCTTCCGGCTCCAGGTATACTAGATGGGATTACACCGATATTTCACGCTCCTTCTTCGGAAAAGCCTCTACCAGATTTGGACAAGAGGGGTCGCGAATGCAGTTCAAGAAGTTAAACATCGAGGAAGACCCGGAGGAACAGGGGTTCGAAGCTGGAAGCTATGATATGATCGTTGCTGGATGGGTGCGTTGACCTACCGTAAACTGAGCCTACTTTACCGCTAACTCTTTTCCTTGCAGGTTGTACATGCGACCCATAGTTTGGAACGCACATTGAATAACATACGGAAGCTCCTTAAGCCGTACGTCTACCGAGAACTCTAGTATACATTCTGGGAACCACTGACCTTGTTGACGCATATAGTGGGGGGAAGCTCGTGCTGGCTGAGGTGACGAACCCGTTTCGTTCTGCGGCGTCCTTCGGACTTCTCGAAGGGTGGTGGCTCAGTAAGTTACTCGTGCTTCTTGGTTGCCAAGAATTCTGCTTCCTGCGTAGCGGTGACGGCACTGACTATTGGGACAGGCTCCGAACCTTACCGTGTCTACGGGCCTTGTGTTGACAGAGCACGCTGGCATAACGTACTTCAAAGAACAGGGTTCACAGGCTGCGACATCTATCTCCCCGACTTCGACGGCCAAAGTTTTCAGGAGCATGCCGTCTTTGTCTCAACCGCCCAGCAAATCCACGAGCCTTTGAGCTGGCACCCTAGTATTGAGATCGTGTACGAACCAAATGAGGCAAAACAGCTTGATCTTGCTAGGTTCCTCGAGCAAGAATGTCAGTCCCGTTTGAAATCCCGCGTGGCTTGCGTGTTGGTGAACCAGGCCTCCACTGATACCCAAGACGTGCTCCGATGTTGAGAAGTCGTCACTATATAATATGGAACAAGCCCTATGGGCTGTGCTCCAGAAGCTCTTCACCTCTTCTGCAACAACATTGTGGGTGAGCAAAGGAAGTGATACCTTTGCGACCAACCCGAACCTCCACCTAATTGAGGGTATATTCCGGGTTCTAACTCACGAGGACGGACGCCAGAACCGATATATCTTGTCACTAGAGGGGACGACGAATCAAGAATTGGTCTACACAATAATCCAAAGTATTCTACATCCTCCGGCACAGGGACTGAATACTGAATACACTGTGCGAGATGGCATGATATTGAATCCGCGGCTCACTGATAGTGCGCAGCTCAACGAAGAGGTGTCACTGCAGTTATCGGATCAAATTGAGTGTGAACGAAGATTCGGAGATATTCCACTGTGTTTGGACTCAAGCAGTTCGAGCATTTCGGAGGGCTTCCGATTTATAGAGGCCAAATCCACAATGGACCTTGGAGACACAGAGGTCGAGCTTGAGATTCATTGTGCTGGTCTAAATTTCCGCGACATCCTCTTATCGTTGGGGCAAATCCCTTACGCGGAAGCCTGGCAGGAAGGTGCTGGCTTGGTGACCAGAGTTGGTAGCAAGTGTACCAGATCTAAGCCAGGTGACCGAGTAGTAGGGTTTGTTCCCCAGCCATTCCAGGCTCGAACTATATTCGGCGAGGACACTCCGGTGGTACACATTCCGCCGAGGATGTCGTATGCCGAAGCAGCAGGAATCCCAACGAGCTTCCTAACAGCATGGTTCTCACTCATAGAAGTGGGACGCATCAGAGCTGGAGAGACCGTTCTCATCCACTCTGGTGCCGGTGGGACAGGGCAGGCCCTTATCCAGATAGCCTTATACCATAAGGCGGAAATATATACTACCGTTGGGACGGAGGAGAAGAAGAAATTGATCATGGAGAGATACCCTATCCCCGAAGGCCATATCTTCTCCAGTCGCTCCACTGATTTTGCCCCAGCGATTATGCAAATGACCGACGGAAAGGGTGTGGACATTGTGGTGAACTCTCTATCCGGAGAAGGCCTAGTACAGTCCTGGGAATGTACCGCGCCCTATGGGCGGTTCGTTGAATTGGGGAAGAAGGACATTTTGGCAAATGCCAAACTACCAATGAGACGATTCTTGAAGAACGTTACTTACAGTTGCTTTGACTTGGCACTGCTTCAGCAGGATCATCAACGCGTGTCTCGTGCTGCTTTAGAGACGGTTATGAACCTGATGGACGAAGGAAAGTTAAGCCCGCAGGATCCAACCCATGTGTATGGTGTCGGTGAGATAGAAAAGGCGTATCGACACATGCAGTCTGGCAAGAACTATGGTAAAATCGTGATAGAAATGCGTAAGGAAGATATTGTCAAGGTATTTATCCCTCCCTCAGTCATTGACCTACCTAGCTGACAGATTCCCGTTGCAGACATTGCTGAAATCGAAACCGAATTCTTCCTTCGACTCAAACGCGACATATGTGGTCGCGGGTGGTCTAGGCGGGCTCGGTCAGAGTATGCTTACATGGTTGGTCGGCAGGGGGGCTCGGAATCTCCTCCTTTTATCCCGTTCAGGCGGTAAAGGCGCCGATGCCCAAGAGTTCCTCAGTCGACTGAAGGACGATGGCGTCAACGCTCAAGTGCGCGCCTGCGATGTGGCGGACGAGCGTGCTCTGCGTGCAGCAATTGACGAGGCCGCTTCACACATGCCCCCAATCAGGGGCTGTATCAAAGCCGCGATGGTATTGCAGGTAGGCAAATTATTCTGACCTCCAGCAAGATATCATGCACAGCTAATATTCTGATTTTAACTAGGATGTCGGGTTTGAAGACATGAGTTATAGTGACTGGCAAACTGCCGTCAACCCGAAAGCCCAAGGATCCTGGAACCTGCACAAGCTCCTCCCCCGTGGACTTGACTTTTTTATCATGCTTTCTTCCATGAACGGGATAGTTGGGCACGTAGGCCAGGCCAACTACGCAGCAGGAAACACATTTCAAGACGCACTGGCACACCATCGAGTACAGTGTGGTGAGAACGCCGCCTCCCTGGATCTTGGGCTCTTCACATTCACAGGACGAGTTGCACGAGACCCCAGACTCCTCAAGATCATGCTTGATGTCTTCCCACACAAGCCTATCACAGAGCCTGAGTTCCACGCGCTACTTGATGTCTACTGCAACCCGACGCTCTGCAAAGAAAGAGGCCTTCCATGCCAACCATCGTTCGGGATGCGACCACACGAGGGCGCAACAACCAAAGCCTACTGGCTTGAAAGGCCTATGTTCCGCTACATGGCTCAGCAGCGATCCTCGGAGGGGCATCGTGAGCGGCAAGGCCAGTCCATCAATCTTGCTTCTGCATTCCGAGAGGCAGGGTCAATGGCTGATGCAACCGCTGCGGTGACCAAGGCCCTGACCGTCAAGCTGGCAAGGACCTTGTCTGTGGAGGAAGGAGGCCTGGATGATAATAAGGCCCTGCATCAATATGGTGTCGACTCGCTAGTCGCTGTAGAACTGCGGACGTGGTTCTCCAAGGAGGTACAGGCGGACGTTGCTACGTTTGATATTATCGGTCGCGCGACGATTACTTCCTTGGCTGGGGTTGCTACGAGTCGGAGTAAGCTGCCTCGGGGTTGGTCCTGATTGAATATATTTCGTCACCAACTTGGCCATTAGCTAGGCTTGCACGAGGGGATATCTGGGAGCCAGTCATGTTATTATCGCATTGAACATTACATTATGTTATCCGCGTCTTTACCGTCAGTTTAACAACCTCATTGTCTGATTCCGTAGGAGCGTGGTATAGAAACAATCTTACAGTTGGTGAGGACGTGATAACATTCTATTTTACCTAGTGGATTCATGTTTAACTCACTGGTCGCCCTAGCTCGGATTCTCTTCCCCCTTACTCTTGTCTTCAACTCATGTCCATGATGAAGGGAAAGAACCTGAGAATGGTCCTACTTTATTGAAATTCTAGTCTCCAGCAATGCTATGGTGTTGAGGAATGTGGCCCTTCATCCCTATATTGTTCTTGGCGCTGGCCCGGTCGGCCACCTGTTTCACAGCCAGGGCCTAAGGGTTGTGGGGTCTTTAACATTTCCACTATAGAAGCCATGGCGTATAGGAGTCCAATTTAGAGTATTCATCAATCGTCTACATTCATCTGAATTCGCAGTATACTTTGTGTACTAACCACTTAAAGTGAATGTAGTAGGAAACCCCCCCACCCCCCCCTCTTCGCTGTGCCGTTCCAAGTGGATGCAAAAATATATTCCGTGATCCCCATCCGACCCATCTGCTTCAAATCACAGATAACCACCTATATCGTACATTTGCGTTTTACCTTTGCTGGCTCAGTCTCAGGTAAGATACGTGAACCACTTGGAAGCCTCTTATCAATGCTTTTTGTGTGTTTGGTTTCATCGGGAAGAAAAAAAGGTAGTATACGCCGAAACCAGCGGTGAAGTGGAGAACACAAGAGGAAGTGCTTGTCGCATTCGGTATGACTACAAAAAATGTACGAAGGACCCCGGTAAATCTGGACACTATGCAAGATTGAATTATCTATTGGAAACATGCGAATGTCTTCAATCATTAAAGCGTATACAGTATCATCTAATGCTTGACATAATATACAAATCAAGTCGTTGAACAAGAACGAAATCTATCGCGTCTTCCCACTACCAGTGGGTTGATTATATTTACAACTTAAGACCGACCGGACTAATAGCCAGTGGCTCAAGAAAAAGCAGCAAAGCAAGTGCTGTTGGCCCGGGAGTCCTCCCAGCCGACACACTTCCAGCAGCTCAGCAGACCAGTAGGGTCATACTTGTTCTTGATGGAGAGGAGTTTCTCGTAGTTGTCGCCCCACCAGGCCTCCTGCCAGTCAACAGTGAAAGCGTTGGCCTCGTTGCTGTAGGCGCCACTGCCAGGGGTGATACGCTCCAGGGTAGCAGTCATGTTCTGCAGAGTGGCAATCTTTTGCTCGCGGGTCTGCAGGGTGCTGTTCCAGGCCCAGCTGCTGCCGGAACCCAGCTCCCAGACGGACTTGCGCCAGGCAGGGGAGGCACTGGTGGAGCCCTCAGTGTAGTTGTACAGGACAGGGGCGACGACGGGGATGTAAGGGGTCTGGCCGTTGGCGAGGATGAGCTCGAAGAAGTCCATCAGGTTGGAGCGACCCTCGGCGGTCTCGAAGACGTCGGTGGGGACCAAGCGACTGCCAGCGAAGTGGGTGACACCAACGCTGACGGAGCTGGAGGTGACGTACTTCTCGTAGAAGTCGTACCAGGAAGAGAAGGCCTCGATGACGGCGGAACCACCCTGAGCCTTGGCGTAGGCGGCAACCTCGGCCATGGAGGCATTCGCTTCAGCGACAGAGAGCAGGGGGGAGACGTTGACGAGGGTGTCGCCAGTGACGTGACCACCCCAGCCTTCCTTGGCCCACTTCAGGGTGTTGTTGACAACGATGTCCATGAAGGGGAGGACGTTGGTGGAGTTGCTGGTGAACTTGATGATGGCGGCGACGAAGCTGACGGTGGGCTCGACGCGGTGAGTGCTCTCGAGGACAACACCAAAGGTACCACCACCGCCACCACGCAGGGCCCAGAAGAGGTCCTGGTTCTGGCACTCGTTGGCGATACGCAGCTCGCCATCCGGGGTGACGACCTTGAACTGGACGACACGGTCGACACCAAGACCATAGACAGGGGAGAGGACCGAGTGGCCACCGTTCATGACCCAACCGCCAGAGAGACCGACGGTGGGGGAGTAACCACCGAGGATAGTGACGTTGTTCTGGTGAGCGAACTCGTAGGCTTCATCGAAGTTAACACCAGCACCGGCAGTGATAGCGTTGTAGGAGGCCTGGCAGCCTTCGGGGACAAAGGCGGGGCTGTAGCTGAGGTTCTGCAGCTTGCGAGTCCACAGGGCCAAGGTACCCTTGCCGCTGCTGCGGGTCAGGTAATCATGACCACTGTTCTTGATGGACAGACGGGTACCAGAGCAGTTGGAGAAGTGCAGAGCGTGGCGGACATCGGAGTCATCCTTGACCTCGATGTAGTAGGAGGGCATGTTGCCCTGACGGCAGGTCTGGTTGACAAAGGCCAGAGGATCGGTGGGGTCGCTGCTATCGAGCAGACATTGATCCTCGGGGTTAGACGAGCACATCTCATCCTGGTTGTTCATGTAACCATTGGGAGAGTTGGTGCGGAGGTAAGGGTCGGTGTAGTTGTCCTGAATGTTGGCACAGGCGGCATCGTTGGGGGTGACGGACTGGCCATTGTAGTTGGAGAAGCAAGGGAGGGAGAAAGGGGTCAAGGGCTGTACACGACCCTGAAGGGTAGCGTTGAGGCTATCCAGAGTGCATGAGCAACCACAAGCGGAGCCCAGTCCAAAGAATTGGACGGCCAGAAGGGCCAACGAGGTCTTGGAAGGCGAAGGCGTCATTCTTCAGGGCTGCCACGCGGCTGTGAGACAAACTCGGCGGAAGGGAACGGGGAAACAGCGACGATCGCGACCATTTGAATGAACGGTCGGGGCCAACGTTCAGGAGAAATTTTTCTTACCTTCGGGAAAAACGGAATGAACGGACCAATTCAATGTCTCATACGATTCATACGATTCAGAGCTATTGAAGACTGGGTGGACAAAGGTTGTGGGTTGTGGAGGAAGAATTGCTTGGTAGCTGGAGAGTGCGAAATGCGGTAGTTGGGCGACATACGCCGCAACCGGGCCCGTAGCTGTGAAGAAAACCCAAGGAAGCTGCATGGAGTTGCAAGTGGACCCTTTGCTCCACCATGGTTGGTATAAACTATGTAGTGCCACCAATCAATAATGTTCAAGGGGTGGAATCTTGACGCAGGTCCCGTTGGGACTTGTTGGTAAGTGGAGTTAGGTTTCGGTCGACGTCCGAAGCTTTTCCTTGAACGCACACCACCACGTTTGCCCTCACACAATAGATCGTGGCTGCCTTCTTCACCCTACGCTAGATTACCACGGAGTACTAAAAGTATTAGACCACTACTACCATTGTGTACCTGCACAATTGGACCATGTGGACACCATCTGAGACCAGCGTCTCAAATTGATTGCACCACGTTGTCTCTCGGGTTTTCTTCGCTCGGTAACTATCTTCCTGCAGGAAGACCCCTGAAGCCCATCGCACGGCATGCCGGCATAGACCACGCGAAGGAATTTATCTACACAATCACCGATGATCCTTGCCATGTCTCCCCTCAGCCCCCCAGAATCCCAGCTGATGGATTGCTGGGGTTTTTATCACCACCAGATATACGCTGATGATCGCAGTGGTACGGACCAGTTCCCAGCGGGACGCACAGCGCATTGAACACGGCGGACAGAAAGATCGACCTCTGAACCACGGTCGCAGACAAGCCACCTCGATCAATTACCGCCGATTACTCAGTGTCAATCTATTCTGGTCTCAGTTCTGGCTCGTCAATCTAGCGGCGGAGAAAGTTAAAAAAGTTAAAAATTCGCCGAGCCGTGGAAATGAAAAGCCAATGAATCCTGCATCCGGTTCAAATAGTCTTGCACAAATTAGCGGACGCCTTCCCAATCTTTATCGTAACTCCGACCGGGCTGAGTCTGAGTTAAAGAATCGCATCCCCTTGCCCTTTAGGTTCTGGTGGCGACGACAGCCCTTTCGTAATATTATTCATTAATTCGGATCCTTCTTGCACAGAACCACAAAAGACCACAAATCCCCCTCTTCCCCCCTCCCTGAAATGGGAAACTTATATGGAATCGCCTGACCCGCCTGGTCGCTGCTCCCTGCATCGCTGACTCGTATCGCCGGCCGTGCAGGATGACTTACGAAGAGAATCGGTACTGGAAGAATGTCCTGACCATCGTACCCATCATTGGTGCTGCCCTGGCCACCGTTTCGTATGTCTTGCGACTATATTCGCGGCGCTTCACCACCGCCGGTCTGAAAGTAGAGGACTGGTTGATGGGCGTGGGCTTGATTCTTTCCTACTGCGTAACCGCCTTTGTTGTGGACAGTGAGTTGCTCGCACTTCTCATGCATAGCTGGCCGACCGAGTGAATACTAATTCTTGCTGCGCATATAGCCGCATTCAATGGCGTGGGTTTACCAGTTAGCTCTCTGCCGGCTGACGAACGGCGACGTATCCAATTTGTATGTTCTCAACGGCAACACATTGTTCGCGATGGCATCCACTAACCGATGCACGAAATTGATACAGGGTTCATGGATGATTCAGAAATTTTGGGCGCCGTCGGCTGCGTTTGTGAAGATATCGATCGTCGTGTTCCTGAAGCGTCTACTGGGAACGGTGCGCGCGTATGCAATTATCTCGAATATCCTGATTGGCTTTATTGCCTGTTGGGCCGTCACGGCACTGCTTGTCAACATTTTTCAGTGTACTCCAGTTCAGTACTACTATGACAAGGATCTCAAGGGACATTGCATGAGTGGTCAGCGAGCCTTCTTCCAGGCGATGGGAGCGATTTCTCTGGTTGAGGATGTCATTGTGCTGTGTCTACCCACACCTATTGTTTGGGGGCTACAGATCACCTTTCGTCAGAAAATTGCTGTGACGCTCGTGTTCTCCCTGGGTGGACTGTAGGTTATCTTGTGGAGTGCATGCGATTTCCGGTGCTAACAACTGAGTAGGGTCTGTATATTCAGTCTGATGCGTCTGATTGAGTTCCGTACCTTCGTCACTACCGACCTGGCTTGTGAGTTACCTCCCCGTGGAACACTGTTGGTGTTCTCGACTAACTGATTTCAGCCTCGAGTGCCAAAGAGTCTGTCTGGACTTGTCTCGAGCTCGATGTAGCTATCATTTGTGGCTGTCTGCCTCTCATGAAGCCGCTGATTCAGGGCTTCCTCGGCAAAGTGCGAAGCGGAGTCTCCAAAGCCCGTTCCCACCCGTCATCCGGCACGAAGCTATACTTTCCCAACGGCACCACCCACAACAACGATGGATTTCGCCAGATCAACGATCCGTTGAGCTCCATGGCCTCCAAGAACGCTCATATCGCTGCCGATGAGAGTCGAAGAAGTTCCGACGTTGAGCTGCAGGGCATCGCGGTAACCACCCGAATCGACCAGGATATCGACCGCCCGCGTACCGGAAATTAGACAGATGTCTCCGCCGAACACGTATGGCCACGGTGAAAGGTACTGCCAGGATGATAGTCTGTACTGGGCCTACAATAGTGCAGCTGCTTATGAAGTGCTACTGAATGCGGCTGGACAAAGGGATTAGCCCGCACCCCGACCCCAGCATCCTGCACTTATTAGAGACGAGGGACACCGCCTACGTGTTCCATGCAAGGTCCGAGTGTATGGTGCTCAAGCACTTGGCTCCGGCCTGACATCTCTTCGGTAACAACGAAGATGAAGGGGCCTACTGCTCATCTGCTACGCATCTGAAAGAGATGCGATAAGCAACGCCATCGGCATAAACGTCTACGAAGTCTGACGAAATAGATATAGATCGATAGATTAAACCTAATTCACATAATACTTCACAGCTATCGCACTGATGCAGCTCTCACTACGATTACAGCAATAGTAAAGTGAATTTTGTCACATATTTTGTGTGTTTAGTATGCAAAACCAGAGTGAATCCCGAAAATTCCATCGTCCCACGGGAATGAAACCGAGACTCCCCAAATCCCTGGACATGTTCGCACTGGCCGACCCGCGCGAAACCCTAGAATCAGCACCCTGCATGTCCGCAATCCCCCAATTCCGGAGATCTCGAGACAGAGAAAAGTATTTGCCGGAATTACGTTGATGAGGCCTATAGTATATCTAAAACCATGGATCGGGTGGATTTCCCGAGCGGGGAGACTTACTCTACATTTTTATAAAGGCAATTTCAGCCCGAAGCGCTAACTCCAAATTAGTCTACTCATAATATGTAGCTCAGACACCATGACATCCTCTTGTTAACATGACTCGAAAAGGCCATGATATACTATATTGATTAACAATTATAGCCTACAAAGTAGTATTTCTATGGCTTGAGGGATCCACAGCACTGCACATCATATCATATCTGATAAGCAGATCCGCCGTTATTCAACACCCAGTCTGGGAATGATCACTGCTACTTACTATCTTAGCCTGCGGAGAGATTTAAGGGACAACGGCGGTCGAAAAGAATTAGTTTGGCTTGAAAGTATTGGTGAATGGAGATTAGAATGGGGAGAGTGACCCAGACATGACGATCCTAATACACTGATAATTTTGACACACAGAAGATGCGGTGAAGTTAGCGTGGGATCGGCAGGGGGTTATCCGTTTCCATCACTTACAAATGTAGACTTTATGGAGACTAAAATGTTGAAACATGAGTCAGTTTTATTCTCTGGTGTGCCTGTCCGGTTACTTTTGCGGCTTAAGTTCTGCTGGGATGGAGTTTGGTGTCAAATGGGACGGTGTAGTAGGGGTATGGTCAGTGCACTGTACTGCCATACTCCGCTGTTGGTTGTTCAGTCTTAGGACATTATTTGGGAGGTCTGTTCGACTCGAGCAGGCGAGTAGAGAGGAGAAAATGAATGGTACGAGATGGGAGGTGGCTACAGCCATATTCTTTGGCTAGCATGATCATTCGAATAGGCATGAAGTCACTTCGCTGACACTATATTAGGCCTGCATACATACTGGATCTAGCCGCTATTTTAGTGTTACTATATATTTCGCTGAGTCGCAAAGTTCCATCATAGTAGCAATAATGCACGTGATGCCATTCGCACATCCTAATGACTAGTGATGAGATATATGACTATAGTGAAGGCTGGTTTAGTGACTATCCATGTGCTCAGTAATGTTTCTATCCCTTACTGTCAGCAATTTCGCACTGTTATTGCGAAGTAGAGAAAGCGATTCATCTGGTGAAACATGGAAGTACGGCAAGTTCCGGCTGCACTCGTTCGTTTGCATTCACCACTCGTTTGCTTTCACTGACGTCCCGATTTCCTTCTCACCTCTACTAAATGAAATCTTCCTCCTTCTCCTCCCATCTTCACGCTCGCTCTCATTCAAGTCCTCATTCATCCACATATTCAGTCATCGCGCAACAAGTTACACCGACCTCATACCTTAACCCAAACTGACCAACAAGATGGAATGCCACGACGCCTCACGCGTTCCTGAATACATGCAATACCTGGAGGGACAGAGGCAAATCCTAAAGGATGCCCAATCTCGCAGGGGTCAGCCAGTCGAACTGACAAAGTCCCGCGAGGAGATAATAAACCAGTTTGTTCATCGCTACTTGGCGGAGACTACCACACCCGTGGACAAAAATGCGATTCGCACGTCATTTGTCCCTCCTGCGTACCCACCATCCATTGCAGCATTGGGAGATTTGAAGAAGATTCCCATCAAGGATCTTACCATCGAGACTCATCATCGTGGCTCTTACATCCTCTTGAGAGCACTTACTCCTGCTTTTAGGAAGACAGGAATCGTGACGGTGGTGGAAGATGAGGAAGGAGACGTTCTTGCATTGCAGCTGTATAACCAGGATAGGGATCTCGTAACAGATGGGCGGCTCGTTGATGGAACTATTGTGCTTATAAAAGAGCCTTATCTGAAAGTCATGGGCGATGGAGATTGTGGACTGCGGGTCGACCATCTTTCTGATATCAAATTCATCCTGGAGGATGACTCTCTGGTGCCCTCAATCTGGAGAGATGAGTCAGAAGATAGTATCTCTGCTAACTTCTGGAAAACAACGGGCAACGATCTCTACAATGAGAAGGACTATCATCTTGCTATAAACTGGTACAGATTAACCTGAAACTGATAAAACGATAAAGTAACGCTAACGATGGTACAGTTATTCTAAGGCTCTGAATTGTTCCACAACTCCCAAGGAAGAGCTTACCGTAAGGCTTAATCGTGCTCAGGCATTCCTCAAAACCCATCAGTTCGACGCGGCCCTGTGTGATGTCGAGCATATCCTATCCAAGGATAGATCTGCTGAGAAAGCATTGTTCCGTAAAGCTCAGGCCCTTTACTATCTTCAGAGATTTCGAGAGTGCTGTGATGTTTACGTAGATCTTTGCAAGGCCTATCCAAACAATGCCACCGCTAAAATCGAGTTTGCACGGGCTGCAGCGCGACTCACAGAGCAGCAGACTGGCAAGTATCCATTCAAAGAAATGCAGGAGGAGGCAACGAAACTCAAACCCCCACATTTGGACCACGCAACGTATGTTGGCCCTGTTGAGGTGAGGCCCTCTACCCATGGACGTGGTTTGTTTACAACACAGGCGGTCCGTGCCGGTGACCTACTTCTTTGTGAAAAGGCCTTTGTGTATGCTTTCCATGAAGAGGGTGATATGACCAACGTTTCAATATTGGTGTACGCCGATACAGACAGTATGAAAGTAGGTACCCAAGCCGAACTGAATAGTCTCATCGTACGAAAGCTGCACAACAACCCATCGTTCATTCCGACATTTAATGATCTGTACCATGGCTCATATACTTCTGTGGATGTCTCTGAGGTCGACGGTTCACCCATTGTCGATACGTAAGTCTCACTTTCCAGGGCGCGGGCAACATGGAATATACTGACATTTCCAGTTATTTGGCTGAACGAGTAATGTCACTTAATGGTTTCGGCTGCTCGGTAACCTCACGTACAGCCCACATTTGCAGGATCAATGCCGACAACGGGGATCTTGACACTGATAATGAACGATTTGATTCCACCGGAATCTGGCGTCTCGCATCTTACGTAAATCACTGCTGTTATCCGAACACATACCGTGCATTCATCGGAGATATGATGGTACTTCGCGCTACACAGGATCTTCCCGCAAACACAGAGCTCAAATTCTGGTATCGAACACCCGTGGATGACGGTACAGCAGAAAATGTATATCAGAAATATTGGGGATTCCAGTGTGACTGCGCAATTTGTCATGATGTGCGCGAAACAGGGGAAGCTGGTTTGGCGAAGCGACGAGAACTCATGGCTGCTTCGGACTCGTCCATGAATTACATAGCTATCGCCTACAAATCCTCGTTCAGTCTTAAAGAGCAGACTGCTGCAATCACTATGACAGAAGCCGCTATTGCTATGATTGAGCAAACGTATCGGCGATCACCCTTGGAAGTGCCTCGTCTTGGGATCTGTAAAACAGGACTGTTTTTGGCAGAAGTGCATGCTACCCATGGTCGTTGGCGGAAAGCTATTGGATATGCTATCAGAACGCTGGAATCCCTCGGCTACGTGATTGAAGGCTGGCAAATTCCGTACAAAAAAGGTAGGCAGTTGCGTGTCACGCAATGGGGACTGGCAATGGACGTCCTTGTCCGGTGTTGGATGATCCTTTGCTGCACTTATGGCGAGGTGGCACCTGAGCTTGCTGACCACGCTGAATTTTACGCTAGAGTGACGTACAAAATATGCATTGGCGAGGATGAGACATTTGGGGATACCTATAATCGGTACTGCGGCCGAGTCGATGGAATGGTCGTGCACAGTAGTTGAGTCTACAAGAGTGTGCTCCTGTTACAGTTGGTGTTTTCCGGGTTTTTTTCTCCATATCGCTTTCCTACAATTGCTTTTGCCATCGCGTTAGTCTATCTATAAAATTGAATATGATCTCCATAAAATTGAAATTTTAAAATGGATGACCCACTGTACATATGTAACTTCGGCTAGAACTGCCGTTAGTGTACTACATAAACATATCGATGAGCCGTAGAAACCTTCGGTATCGAGCCAGGGTGCCTCTTCGTCGCACACTCGACTCTATACTCTTTTCATTACTAAAAAGGCAATTCATCACTAAGTCTACATCAGTCAACGCCAAGCTTCATCGAAGCCTGACAGGTAAACAGAAAGTGGACCAAGGACGGAGAGGATAAAAGAGAAACCAGGCGACTCTCTTGGATGCTTCTATGCACGAGGGGCCAATTTGGCCTCTTTACGTAACTGGTTTGGGGCAGGAAGATCAATATACATCAATGAACACATGACAGGACGAGTGAAGCTTAAGTCCTTGGAATTTAGAACTGTATTAATATATATGCACTCCACTAATCCCATCCATTCGGTTATCCCGAAATTGGCTCGCAGCTGAGACACTACTGCCTCAGGCATCAGTCAGTGGCCTTGGGCCGTGGCCATAGAATTTACATGGAATTTTAAATTCCAACTCCCTAAAGCATCACTTACGACCTACCCCCTTGAGGTCAGTAATTGACGAGATATCCTACAGGTTAATGCTAACGCCTAACGACATCCAGTAATATCGTTAGGTAAACCCTGGAATCGGCGATCCGGGTATACTTCTCCGCATGAACGCTGAAACATACCCTGTCAGATCGTACAGGGATCAGAACCTCGCTACTAATTGCGCTACACAAGATGACTCATTACCAAAGCACACAACATGAGCTAGGTAATTGGACTTTTTCGTGAGCCGAGGAGCTCACAAGGCTGACACAAGGACACGCAGATCGGGCTCTGCCCTCTGTCATCCATCATTCATCATTGAGGGAACACAACCTCACTTACCCATATAATTGAATCCGTCCTGTTTTGATCTTTTAAACTCCTTTATGAATTGAAAGTTTTGGAACAGAGGAACCATGGCTCTTTCTATAGGGAACGCTAACCTTTCTCTGACGGAGCATTTGAGTGCGCCACCTAAAGCATCACTCCAAATACTCGGGACACATAATGTCAATGAAGATAACAATATTATTGATTTTGATATTTGGGTCGACTGCTCGAAAACAGTCGGTATAAGATCGGCCAAGTTCCTGACAGAAAATGATGTGGAATCTCGCTGTTGGAGCTACTCCGCTGACTGCGATAACGGTGACCCCAAAGATATATTGGGCGGATGGCTTAATGACTGGTTAAACCATGATGATGCAGACGATCAAAAGTCAGTTCTTTTGGATGACTTGGTCCAATTGCCTCGCCTTATACTGACAAATTCATGTCGTTTTTCAGCTGGAGTCTTCATAAATCTGGCGATATTCTGAACGGGGATCACACAGCTCTCAGAACTCATATCGAGCGCCTGGCACAGAAGACCGCCTACGGTGGTTCTGTTGAAGTGTCGTTCCATACTCCCTCAATAAAATTGGAAGCAGGAAATAATGCCTCCGCCGAGGACGGACACATTGCAGAAATCTTTCTGGAGTGGGCTTTTGAGTGCTCCTTCACCCCAACCGACCAGGTATGGAGCGAGCTAGTCCAGAATGCGATGGTAGACCATAAGAAAGGCTGGATCGAGCCACTTGCACCACGGCCTTCGCACGGAATGTCTCCCTTTCGGAGAGCAATGAGAATCAACGGTACTTCCCATGTTGTATCGCAGGAGCAGAATGCGAATGGGGTAACGCACTCAGTAAGGCAGTTCTCTTCATGGGGTGTTGACAGGTCCGCGTAAAACGGTGGATGCTTGCATTACTAGTGTCAATATGTCACATCGATCTGCTCTGGTTTTTCCTAGTTGGATCTGCTGCTATTTGATTTCTTTCGCAAATGCATACTGTAGCTTTCGGTTCATCAATATTGATAGATCGACTTGATTTTTGTGAGATTCAACCGTCGAGGGCATAGATGTCCTGTTGAGCTTCTTCTGCCAAGGAGGTCGTACCATAGAAATAGTGTGGGGTAAGCTGCATAATTTCATGATCACCCAACCACTGCTGGAGAGTACCAATTTGCTCATTTATATCTCATATATACGAACATCCAATAGAGTTTGCGGTTTGTTGTATCCATGGTTGAGGTCGGGTCCCCACAACCGATGAGATCATAGACTTCTGGCGGATTGTATATACGGGCCGGGATGAATAGCGGAACATGAAGCCACTCCTATCTTCATGTGCGCATTTTGCGACTCATCCACCTTTACATCTTTTCTGTCATATACCACATCTCATATTGAGTCACTCATCATGCATGATTACCTTGGCCATCCTCTGGGGCTAGTGGGTTGGTTTGCTCGGACGATCCAAGCCATCAGCTCGATCATCGTCCTGGGAATTACAGCCTGGGCTGTGAGTGAGGACAACAAGACTCTCAGTGTTATTTTCTCACTTGTCATTGTAAGTGGTCTGTTCAGGTACTTTTTTTTTTTTTTTTTGAAAGGTCTTATTCTCACCTTGGTACAGGCTACAACGAGTCTGGTCGTCATAGCTGTAGCTGTAGGCATCAGCTGCTTAGCACGTCGGGCCAAGTGGCACATTATCCCACTATTTGTCACCGATGCAATCATATCCTACCTGTAAGTAGTATTCTGATACTAGGGCTAGGCCGGTTGAGGGTCAATGCTGATCACTATAGGTGGCTCACCTCGTTCATCCTGCTCGCTCTGAACTTCAACCGCAGGACCTGTCGCGTGAACCGCTGGATTGGAGAAGTATCTTGCTCCCGAAGCTATACTGCCGAGGCATTTAGTTTCATTGCATTGTAAGTGACTCGAAAACGTCCGCTGAATCCTCATTGCTGACTCGTGACAGTTTCACTACTCTCATGGGCCTATTTTTGGAGACCGCCTACATTTACTGGGCGAAGCCTGATAGTGTGCCCGGAACGGAAAAACGGCTACATCAAGAACGCCTTTCTGAAAACCTCAATGCGGCTGGCCTGACATAAGGGCTGTTTTACAAGTGCCTATCGGTGAAATCTCGTGCAGCGGCTGTCCGACACCACTTCCTCATGATATTTTTACTACTATATTTATGTCCTTGAACCATTATTGACATACTGAGTGTTTGCTAGGCACTGGACTTTATGGTCCGGTCAATTCGCTCTCTCTGATATGTTGTTAGCCTCCTCGGCTGTTTTGCCACGCTCGCTTCCCATTGCACATTGATTGTAACTTGACATTCGCTATGAGAAATATTATCTATCTGGTCAGAAACAAACCCAGTTCATTGCAAAGTAGACGCAGACCCGGGTATTTCTTAATACACCCACTTTCCACTAAGTTGTCCTTGTAATCCTTGGGAAGTCGTCCATCCACTTGGTTATCCATCCTCACGGCCAATGGCGCTATACTACTTGGTTGAGCGCCTCCTTCGTTGATGAGTCTCTACCTCGAGATCATTAGTATACTTCAGAACCCAGATCACTCGGACGGGTAAAGGAATCCTCACCAGAGATCGAAGCGACAGTATCCTTGAGCGGCATCAATGCTCAGTTCACAGTATGTGCAACAGTCTTTACAGCCTTCCCATGTGCAGCAGTATTCACCCACCATGCTACAAGAATCATCTCGCTGTTCTAGTGGAATACTCGCTGCTGCAACATAGCCAGCGAAGGCAGAAATTGCGATAAAGAGGGAGAATTTCATATTGAAAGCCTTTTAGATTTCACGGTTCAAAAGAAGAAACGAGGACCAGCAAGATGTTCTCGAGGAGTGAATTATAAATTCAGGATGGTTAGAGATTCGATCTTGATACATCATTGCCCTTCTTTATACCATTTCGATGTTCGTTTAATGAGCCAAAACCAACAAAAGCAACGTTGTTCAGCGGTGTGATCAACGTACGTCTGACCCCAAACCCCGAGGGACGGTGATCCGTGCATCACTCTCCAGCCTAACAGGGAATAGTTTTTTTTAATGATCGGCAATGCGCTGAAAGTGACTTGTTCTTACTCACGAGTAGGAAGTAGTTATGTACAGACCAATGCATTGCACATCCTCAGCCGCATAAGAGACCGAGCTAGTCTGGATGAAGATGTAGATCCCAAAAGGAACCACAGCGGACACTGTTGTCCTCCAAACCAAACAACATGCTTATGGCAATTCAGATCCCGTATCTCTGTCCTATTCCGAGCCATCCGGTCCACGAATGACCCAGCCATGATCATTGACGTATCCAAGGACATGGAATCCACCTGGCTAATACCTACCAGTCAATCCATGAGAATCAATCAGCAAATGAGTGAGGATGGAGATAGCATCAAGATTGGGCACTCATTTGTCCTCATTGTCGGATAGGAAGACCTGCATAGATCACGGCTAGACAAAATGCAGATCTCTTATGGTTGCCATCAGAGTTAATCACACGGTTACACTCATAACCTTATGGGTCACTGTCAGAAGGCCTATAGACAGAGCATTCTGTGATGAATTATCTCAAACTAAGAATACATTAATACACCCTACATATCTCTCAATTCTTTATCTGATGTCCCCTCTCCGATCTCATGAGTTTCTCCGCTCCCGTCGAACCCCAACAAGTCCTTCCCCATACCCCACTCCATTGCTTTTTCTAAGTTGCTTTTCCTAAATTGCTTTTCCTAAATTGCTGCACGCTCTACGCAGCACTGAGCCACGGCGTGGGGTCTGCGCACCACGCTGTTTGCGGTACCCTTTCAACAACCCCCCTAGTGCCTCATAGGTAGCGCCTGGTAACGGACATCCCCGGAACTCCTGTAACCCTTCTTCAGGTTTACCGAAAAAATGTTGTTAGCATCGGCCACCAACAGCGTGGTGAACCAGAGGTTGGAAAAGGTCTGAGCGGCAATCATTACTAGTTACAGTAATGGCTCTCCTTCCTGCAGTTAGCCAATGCGGACACCATGCAACCCTTGGTCATATTACCCTAGAGATATAGGTCAAGCAGAATTACTATCTCCTACTCCGGTATCGCAAACTATGGGATCAGCATAAACCACCATAACAAGTTTAACAAATCCTACTACGTATGGATATGACACGGATTACCAATACATATCTTGATAGCTCACGAAGATTCTTCTTCCATTCAACAGTCATATATACCTGGTTTTCCAAGGAAACAGCCGTAATGAGCAAGATCTTGTTGGAAGTCAGCTAGCCATCCATACGAAGAAACCAGAATGCAGGCCGGGCTACCATTGAACAAAGCAATAAGCAACGCAAGGGTCGACCTTACGAATTTTTAGTTTAAACCACTTCAACCCCGCACGCTTAACCTGTTATCCCAATCGCCCCTTCATGGGATGATTGGCTATCCTCAGCGATACCCGAGGATGGATCATCCAGTGCATACCATGCTCTCGGGGCATCACACACATCTCAGTCAAAAGCAATCATGTCCATCATCAATGCGGGCGTGGACAGCCCTACGGATTTCAAGCGCACTTAAGAAACCGCAATGACCCCATCCATCCTTCTCCTTCATCGAGACTTCAGTAATCTACTCACCCATATCTGCCTACTACTTCTATATTGATCTATATCCATCCACAATATGAAGTTCATCAGTCTTTTCACATCCACCACTGCCATTGGAATGGTGACTGCGGCTCGCGTTCCGATAGGTGACCGCCAATTCCTCGCTAGATTATATGTTCCTCCTCAAGGTGGTGGGTGATTTCCTCTCTCTTATCACCAAGTTCGTGTTAGCTAACTGGAATGTAGAGGGCGAGGACTGCCGAGCGCACACTGGCGAGTACTGTTGCACATGGGAGGGTTGTCGATCATGCTGCTGGTGGGAGAAATGTGATTTGAGCATCGATGCTGCGCAGGGCAAGTGCGTACCGAATTGGTGAGAGATCAGTCGAAAGGTAAGTTCATTATATGAAACATGTACCTCTTCTGTCGAGGCTTCAGGTCACGGCCGCTAATGTGTTTGGTAGGAGACAGTCTTACTTGGTAGAGGTGAAGTCCCATATCGGCTATCAGGCTTCGTAGGTTTTGTTTGTGTCGAGGTCATGTTTGACTCAATACACTGCCATGTATGCAATGAAAATTGAATCCGCACTGTTAATATGAATACCATGAGTTATAACCCTTTATCAAGAGCCTCTTCTCGATAAGATGTTCTGGAAGACGTCTATAATTTATTAAGTACGTCCTACAATGCGTAGTGCCGGGCTCAAGTCTGGTCGGGCTTGAACTGAGGCAATTGTGCCGTACATGCTGTGCAAGAACTAGAAAAAAACTGTCTTCACGCCGGCACGACTAGGTTGACGGATGGCTGGGAGATAGATCGGCAGGTCTCTTCTTTCTTTTCGGTGCCTATAGATGACTAGATAATACCAAAAATCCTGGTCCACTTCGATGTGACCCTGGCAGGATATGACTGAATGTTTCTAGTACCGTCGATGTGATGCTGAGCTGCTCTAATATGTACTTCTATCGAATACCTCGAAGCTCGCAGTCTTCACTGTTCTCCATGTGATCTCCGTGGTAGTGGTTCTGAACCCCACAGAACGGAAAAAGATGGATGCATGCAACTATTCTTATGGCGGCTAAACAGTAGCAGGAACATGGTAAGATCTAGCAAAAAATGGTGGCTGTTATGCCTCACAAACCTGTTTTTCTTGATGGGGCGAGATTTCATCAGCAGACGATACTATTGGTCCGCGCGTGAAACAAGAGCAGCACTATGCCTGTCATGGGAAAGCGCGGGGAGCTGCCTAAGATAATCTATTCTTGGCACTGCTCGTATATTTCGAAGGATTGCCAAGCATCCTGCCAGCTTCCCAGAACTCGAGATCAGGGCCAGAATATGCTCTTATTTGTCTGTCTTGCAGAGATGAAACTGATTTATTGTCAGTTATTTTTATCGATTCTATGTCTGCCTGATGGCGAGACCCTGTTGACGCCGAATGAGATGTATATAGACCTAGATCGTGCTGCATCTCGGCCAGTATATTAGACATCGAAAACAAGTATCTCAATCAATTTTGAATATCGTGACAAGACTCGCTAGCTCGCCGCCATGAGCACAACCACAGCTTCAATCTCTTCTACCACCAGTGCTCTGGCCTCAACCCAAACATGCACCAATCCCAAACCAGGGAAGAATGGCTACCTCCCTCCAGAGGCTTGTGACGATATCCTCCTCTACGTCCCCTCTTTAGCGGCGGCAGTACTATTCTGTGTTCTATACGGCCTAACCCTCATATGCCACGGGATACAAGCATTTCTCTACAAGAAGGTACACACCGTCCTCATTCAAACCCACACTCCAACCGACTAACAACCACCATCAGCGCTACGCCTGGGTCATCATGATGGGCGCAATCTGGGAACTAATCGCGTTCATATTCCGCGCCCTCCTCACCCGACAACAGAATAACTCCAACTACGACACTGTCTATACGATCATGTTCTTGCTCGCTCCTCTCTGTACCTCTCCCCCTTCCACCCCTCCACTCTCCATCACTCACTAACTAACCTCAGGGATCAACGCCTTCCTCTACATGACCCTCGGCCGACTCATCTACTTCTTCACCCCAGACCAGAAACTCGCTGGCATCACAGCCCGCCGCTACGGCCGACTCTTCGTCTGGCTCGACTTATTCGCCTTCCTCGTGCAACTCGGCGGCGCAGCCATCACCACTCAGACAGATGTACCAACCAGCACGATCATGTTAGGCGTGCATATCTACATGGGTGGAATCGGACTGCAGGAGTTATTCATCCTAATCTTCACAGGCCTGATCATCCATCTCCATCGAAAACTCATCCAGCTTGAACAGGCAGGGATCTTAAGTCCGGGCGGTATGGCAGGAATGAACATGACCACAAGCAGAAATAAGCCTATGCCTTGGCGATGGCTATTCTACGTAATGTACACTGCATTGGGGATGATCACTGTACGTCTATACCACTTCCACCTTACCGGTTCCAGGGAGAGCATTGATGAACTGATGAATATGGTGTGGTGAAACAGATCCGAATCATCTTCCGACTCTGCCAATACGCACAAGGCACAGACCCGAGTAA